TTTTTTTTGTTGGCTGTGTTATGCAATTTAAACAAATTTTCGAACATTTTTCGTATGGGAAAAAGATAGACACCGTCTAAAAAAAGTGTCAAAAATTAACGGTATTTTGTAGCCTAAAATTTGTACTTTATTTTATTAGAATTGAGTACATAAGCTTTAAAACTGCATACCCAAAAATGTTCTAAACTTCTGAATAGAAAATGTGAAATTTTGAAAACTTGAAATTTTTTTTTAAATTTTTGTACAAAGTTTCAAATTTGTATTGATATGCTTTCGTTATAGAGAGAACTATGTTTTTATCAAAAAAATGATCAAAAATTAAATAATAAAAATAAATAGTCAAAACTTGGCAATATATACGATCTATTTTAACGAAAATTACGAAAACAGTCCCAAAAGAAAATCTCTAAAGCTGAGAAGTAATTTTTAAGAATAAATCAAAACCGTCTTCAATTCTTGAGTAAAAAATTTAAGAGTACCGTTAATTTCTGTTAATTTGGTATGAGACCACCTCAGAGGTACCACCTTTCCCCATCGGTTAACGCTGTCCAAAGTTATGCGAGTTGGTTTTTGAATATTCTTGAACCTTTGTACATTTTAAAAGCAGATGTCATAACAGAGAACAGGTTTGCCTTATTATCATATAGTGCATACAAATACGGGTAATCGAATTCTTTATACATAAGGACTAGTAAGTATTCAAAATGTCCTTTTAAAATTTTATCCTTGAAATTTCGCAATATTTGCTTTTGAAAAAATTGTGTGTTAAGGATTTCTATAAACTCGATAACATCCTCAAATTTCGTCCTCCTAACTTTATCAGCTTAAAAAATTACCTATTCGTCCTTATGAATCCAAAAATTTAAAATTTTTTAAATTCTAGAGAAATTTCCTCTTTCATTTGGTACCCATATTTTTTATCCTACATTGCATTAAATTTTTGAAACAATTTTTGGAATGAAGCATATCTTTGAAATTACAAAGTCCTTTAAAATAAACCCTGACGTACGAGAGAAAAATAAAAAAGTAGGTTTCAAACCCATTTATTTATTATTTATTTTATGGTAGGAAAGATAGAAGCAATTTTTTCGATTTAAGTTGAGAAAAGTAATGAATATCTAAATCGCCGAATCGACTCAAAAAGCTGGAATCAACTGTCTGGCTGATATAGCGGAAGCTGAACTCCTTGCGGTCCAAGTGGTTCATTAGTTTAATGCCTTCGTTATTATTTTCTTCTTCTTTGTATGGAGTCTAGGGAAGCACTCACAAAGGACCGCTATGAAGCTGATTGAAAGTATGGAGCTTTCCAAACACGGCCTCCTAACCTAGCCTAACTTAGTAGGCCACTAAGATACAAGTGATTTATTTTTTGAGTCTAGTAATACATATGTTTGTAGTATAAATAATATATAGCATATTATTACGCACTTTTAGTCATTTTATTAAATTTGTTTTTCAGTAACTCACCATGTGACGGATATAATCCCTTCGAATTGCCATTCATGTGCATAGGGTTTTGGGCGTTATTCTGAAATGAATACGTTAACTGCAGGTTAATGTGGCGGGCAAATGAGCTTCCTTCGGGTTCACGCACTGTAAATGAATAAAAATTAAAATTATAAGAAATTAAGACATTTTTGTGAATTTTTTCTAATGTACTAAAAGGGTATTTTAGAATTAGCGAAATACATATGTATGTAAAAGGTAATATGTTTAACATGCTTTGAAAGACAGGGAAGCCAACTCGTGGTGAATTCCGCAATTTGCGTTGAATTTCAGTTTGCGTGGGGAATGGACCGTTTTTTGTGGGGAATTTCGGGAACAGCAAAAACTTCGGCAAACAAATTCTAAAACAAAAATTTTTAGACACTTTGCACTTGCACACTGTTGTCTGTACATATGTTTCTGCCGTACACTTTAGCGGGAAAACGGATCGCCAAAGTATCCGGAAACGGAATCCGTAAACGGACAAAAATCCGCACTATATCCACTTTTTGTCCTTTTTCAGATCGGGTTTCGGATGTTTTGCTGGCTGGGGAGCGGCGACAACACACACATACCTACATAGGTCTATAAACTTTTAGATCGCATAAAAGTACTCTTTCAAAATTATAAATCTTTAAGCGAAGATTCTCCCAATATTCAATTTTTTTTTTATAGAAAAAAGAGTCGATAGTTTCAAATCTCTACAATTCTTGCTACTACTACTTTTTTAATAGCTTCCCGTGGCGCCTTAACAAGGTTGTATCATTTGCGGTGCCAAGTAGGCCGCTGTCATCCAACCGTTCCACTTAATTTTGTAAAATATTCAGTGGATTATACATACAAAACCGCCTAAGACGCAGCATGAGAAAGCGAAGATTTTCACATATTCCAATATAGCCAATCGCCAATGGACAATAAACCTGGCGCCATACCATTACGTGCGGCAACCTAAAAGTTAATTTGGGTTTCTAATTCTCGCGGAAAATATGGTGAATGTAGGCACATGGTGACACTAAATAGCTACCCAGTAGAGAAAGTCGCAATAAGTGAAATATAGTTTTTGATTGGCAGCTGGGGAAGAAATTCAGTTGTATACACAGAGAAAAAACAAATTAATAAAATAGAGCAAAATTAATAAGATATCTAAATATATGGTTTTTCCTCAAAAACTCTGTAAGGATTTTCACATAAAATCAGTAAGCAGTATATGGAAATTCCTTTGTTTTTTCGTCTGTTTAACTCATTGGCCTAGAAACTTTTCATAGCAACAAACTATTTAGTTCCGAATTGTGAAGTGTGGTATAGGCTGTACCGAAACAGTGAAAAAAAATTGGCTGCTGCCTATAATTTCCTACAGTGTTCTTGGCTGCATTCAGTAGAGTCTTCTATTACATTTAGGCGCATGCATGTATAGGTATGCAGATTAGTATTTGCATATTTTAAATTAGACAGAAAAAGAGAAAAAATCTTAATACAATAATCTGAGCGAGCTACTTGAAATGTAATAACTACCAAAAAAATATGCGCAAAAAGTGCTCAAATATGTATGTATGTATGTACATGCAAACGTACACCGGCTCGTATTCAATGCACTTATAATCATAAAACCGGCTGTTAGCTAAGCTATGGGGCTAAGTGCTTTGCACAGGCGCATGCGCACAATTCTCTTCTAAGCAAACAACACCCATACTAAATATTTATTTATGTAGCAACTATGACTACAACTACAACTACAACAACTACTTACTTTTATTCTTACCAGCATGAATATGTTTTTTTTGTCGCGCTCTCGAATTTTGAAACCAAACTTGCGTTACACGCTTACTTAGACCGGTCACCGATGCGATGCGCTCCAAATCCTGCCCATCCGGATTGCTGTCGATCTGAAAGTTGGCTTGCAGCACCTGTAACTGTTCCTCGGTGAAGGTGGTACGCACACGTTTCGTTTTACTTTTGTGATAACCATCACCATCACAGCCATCTGATTTGTTGTTTGGGTGGGTGCATCGGTGGGGGCGGGGGAGAGATGATATTGTGTAGGTGTAGTAGAACGTAGCGCCAGTACGTTTTATAATCAAGGTAATCGATAGAGTTATCAACAGCGTCAGCGTCAATGCCGAAAAGTGTAGTGACCGAGTGCGGATTAACGATAAAAGAAAGAGAGAAGCAATAAAATAGTATTGTTAGTATGTAATGTTATGATTTGATTGCAAGTATTTAATAAAGGTGACTTAAACTTATTTCTAACTTATTTTCTGTCTAGCAGCGTTTGGATTTCATTGAAGTTTTTAGCAGTCGCGAAGTTTTGTGAAAGTCTGCTTTATTAGGCTAAATACTTACACAGCTGGTGGAGCCATATCGACGTAACAAGTTGTGACAGGTGGGGTGTCACAAACCCTATTGAAATTAAGCCCTTTTACTCCCAAGTACCACGACTTTTACTAAAATTTTTTTATTAAAGCCACTTAGAAACCGCTTTCAACTGTACTGATGTTAAAACAGGGGCTAAGAAAATTACAATGCTGTGGTTTATTATACCCCACCTCTCAGATGGCGGGTTAAGGAGCCCCGAATACGCTTACAAATAAAAGTCATTTTAAAGTTGATGGCAAAAAGATCGCTATTCAGATGGCAATCACCAGTTACTATAATTGAAAAAAAATTCTAACCCTCCCTTGCGTTTTTTTATTATTTATTTACTACACGGTTAAATATTTCGGTTATAATTTTAAACTTTTTGGACTACATACATGACCAAACTAAATTCAGTTTCAAATACAAACCTTCTAAGTTTAAAAAAAGAGGGCACATATGTTGGGTTTAGAATTTAAACAGTTCGGTTTAAATTTTAAACCCAAACATTTTCATTTTTAATTAAGAATAAAAAATAAAAAATCTTAAATTTCACGCTGCGTCTGGTGGGGATGCAAACATTTTATATTTCGGTTTAGATTTTAAACCAAATTTTCCATTTATGAAACCAAGAAACTAGAATTAAAACATTTTGGTTTAATTTTAAACACCGAACTTTTTGGACTAAAATTTAAACCAGAATATATTAAAAATTGCTTAAAACTATTGACTGGTTTAAAAAGTAGACCATAAAAGATTAAAAAAGGCAGTAGTCCCAGCGCGGTTTAAAAATTAAACCCAAATTTTTGACCGTGTATGTTATTAGTGGGTTTTAATACTCCGCTAAGATAACCATCGTCTTCGTTCCTTGTTTGGGGAACATAACTTCTGTATGAGGTTCAATGTCGCCACCGAAGTAAAGTATCTTGGTCTGCTTCTGAACAATAAACTTTTGTGGAGCACTTACATAAATTGACGTGGCCACGTCCACAGCTACGAATAGAAGCAAGCAGCTGGTAAGTTCTGGGGATGTAATGCAAAGACCCTCAGATGGATATTCTCTCAGTTAACTTTAAAAAACCGACGAAAGCACTGTAGATAATTCTCTTATCTCTTACTATCTTAGACTTCGCCTTGGAAAATTGAAAAGCGATGCAGTAATATACAGACGGCGGTTGAACCCCAGAAGGCAGACATCTATCACACCAGTTTAAAGCTAAGTATTTATATCTCTTGGGAAAATTGCCAAGCATTTTGTCATTACCATTAGTCTGTGTTCAGTTTCTACTCAGGTTACCAAATACGGACCACGAAATAAAGCAAGGTCACTACATTGAAACTCCAATCACTCGAAATAGTACCCGTATCTGGCATATTTTCATTTCTTACTAATTTTTATGTAAAAAAAGACCTCACATAATATTTTTATTGAGCTTTGTACCACGATTGTTTATTAGGAAAAATTGAAAAAGCAACAAAGTCTAAGCGGTAGAAGTTATAGCACTATTTCGGAGATCACCACAAGCCACAATAACATTGACAAATACCTCACATAATTTCCATGAAAATCTATTTTGGATGAACCGCAGGCAAACCAAACCCAATAGATCAAAAGAGAAAATAAAACTTGAAACGACTTTACGGTACGGAGTCCCTTCGCCAGCGAGCGAGCAGACTTGAAGGCAGGTCTTGACGTGTCTGAAAGGAGGCTAAGCAAAATTGCCAAACCCGGGGTAGTGAGCAGCCGCAAGTGACCGTAACCGTCAATGCTTAGCGCTATGACGCCAAGACCCTTCTGGCCTGGATGTGAATATGCCACACAGCGCGGTCAGTTATGGCTCTATTGACCGAGAATTTCTCAAAACCAAGTAGTCAACTTTTTTTTTACGAAATAATTGTTTGAAAAATAATTTCAACACATTCTAAGCACTAAGCACTAGAAATGCATTTTAGAGCCCTCAGAGAAAATAATCACCCGAAAGTAGCATTAAGCGTTTAAGCCCAAAATGATCACATAGCCATCAAACGTACAATCAAAATGACACCGAAACAAATGACATAAAGCCAACACTTTCAGACTTTTGTAGACCTCAATGTGGGCCTATTACAAGCAACTATACACAAATATGCTAAACGCTTGTGGCACAGGAAGATAAGCTGCGCTATTAAGTAGGATTGTACATACATATGTATGTGCATACATAAATGCATATGCATGTAAAAGTTTTGTATGGCCAGAAAGTGTACAAAACATGACCGAATGCCTACAAAGATGACATAAACTGTCCAGCACTTTGCACAGATGTAAGTCAGTGGCTGGCTCCAGCAAAAGTGTTTTTTTTTTTGTTCTTCTGATGAATGTTGCTTTTGTTTGTGCTTGTCTAAAAGCCATGCACTTGCATGCGATTTAGGGCTTAAAAGTGAATAGCGCGCAAACGCAAAGGTGCGTTAAGGTGGAGAGGAGGCACACATGCATACATAAATATAAACATATGTATGTGTGTACGTTGCCTTTTTGGCCAGAATACTTAAGCACTACCGAGCCCATGTTGCTTTTACAGTATTTAAGTGCAAAAGCCATGGCTAGTTGATGGGCTGCTGTTTCATAGAACATACAGAACTTATACACATGTACATATGTATGTATGTATGTACACATAAAAATGCATTTGAGTACTAGAAACTCTTTGTAGGTATGTACGTATGTATGCTTGTTTGTGACGTCACATTTAGCATGCGTTGTTTTGACACTGCTTTTCAGTCAACCGAAGAAATGTGACCAACTTACATAGTACACACGAGCGTTACTAGATATATAAATATTACGTATGGTACAAATGCTTTGCTCTAACTATGTACTTCTAGAATCTAGCTACATCCACATCTTTCTACATATGTTGGCCATGTACGGACATTACTCTCCTACATACATACATATGTACGCTACAGTCAAGCTCTCTGCATCCTAAATATTGATGTTAGCCTCTGATGTTGCTGTTCTGTTTGCATGTACAACATGGCTAAAATGTTCCAGTGTTTTTTATGCCACAACAAAAGCCACTGCCACCCACCAACCTAAACCCAATTACCAGCTCGTACATGTTTTCAGTCTGCTGCCAGTTTTTACCCATCCGGTGGCAGTTGCTATTCAAAGCATTCACATCCAATTCGTCACGGCTACCGTTTGCGATTTTTGAATTGTATCGTTTTCGTTTGATTTTTATGTGTTGAATTCTTGTGCGTATGTATGTATGTATAGCCACTTTTGCAAATAGATATATAGACATACATATGTACATTAGACTGCATCACCAAAAAAAGTTGTGGTTTTTCCGCCGGAATTACAAAATTTATTATTGGTGATTTCGTTAATTTCAAAAAATGTTGCACTACCCCGGTGCAAAATGTGTTTGGTGTTACACTCAACCATGTAGAATGGCATGTTTTTGCTTTTTTGTTTTGGCCTTGTCTAGCTCGCGCATTTCATTATATTGTCGTTTTAAGCAATCATCTGATTTTCAGGGCAACCATCTCCCCTGACAAAGCGCAGAGAATGTGCTATTTTTGTCTTTAAAGAGTGTGACATTTTAAGAAATAAACACAATAGGGGTATTCTCGAAGTCTTGCACGATGCACGGATTGCACGAAATGCAAAAATACTATTCCAAATTTCGAAGAGTACGAGAACACCCCATTGCAAAGAGGTAGCATGCATGGGGAGCAAGCAGCGAAATTATGTATCAAATACAATAACAAGAGACAGCAAAAAAAAATTAAGTGAGCGAGATGAGAGGAATGAGAGAAATATGTAGCAATTCCAACAACAAAACAACTAGCACAGGGTCGCTATTATCTTGCTATGCTATTTTGCAAAATATATACATGGGTTTCGACGTTGCATATTTTGCAGCGATAGGAAATGTTGTTTCCCATGAATTTTCTTGTTGTGTGTTTGCAATTTATGCAATCCGTGCAATCCGTGCTACGTGCAATGGCTTTGCAAGATTTGGAGAATACCCCTAAAATTTTAAAATCAATCACGAAAAGAGAAAGGTGCAATCAAAAATATTTCTGAAAAATATGAAGATTTACTTTACTTTTTGATAAAAATCCCCTCAGCTGACAAAACAAATTAAGTTTAAAAAATCTGCATAAAAATATTTAAAAAATTGTTCAACGGAATCGTAATAATGAGATTTTTATTGGCGTGTTTTAACTTTTTGCAAATATTGATTTACGACAACTTGAATAACTGGGACAAAACTATTACGATTTAGACTTATGAAGCGTGTGCAAAAAAACTCATTCACGTCAAAATGTTTTTTTTTCAAATACCTTGTAATGACACTCGTTCATCCCACCTTGCTCTTTAATCCTTTGAATGAGTTATTAGAAAAGGAATAAAAAAGGTGGAAAATATCTTTCCAATATTTAATACCTCACAATTCTAAATCGGAATAGTTTTGGTATATATACCAATCTTTGAAAAAAGTTTAAAAACAGCATCAAAAAAATCATTATTACGATTCCGTTGAAAATTTTTTAACATTTTTTAAAAATATTTTTATGCAAATTCTTTAAGCTTAAACAGTTTTGTCATTTGATGGGATTTTTTTTTTTTTAATCTTTAAGAAACTATTTATCTATTCACAAAAAACTCAAATTTTGGAGGTATTTTCAAATCGGTCCAGCTCGCGTAAATCTTAATAATTTTCCGAAATATTTTGGTGGAAGCCTTAAATTGTAGTAGATTTTATAATTCCAATGGAAACACAGTACCGATTTTTTTTTTGTATGGGGCGTGATGCAGCCTAATGCGCATATGATTGTGCCGATGGACTCTACTCTGTGCGAACCTTTGTCTTTTCTTAAACTAAGTCCGTCTCAGTAATCGATAGATTTTGCCGGGACTAGAATCATGGTTGTTCTCAGCATTGGGCATGCTTGCAATGTTTGGGACATACATATGTACTTACGATTAGAGAACCAAACATCGACTTGGACCTCTATACTGTTGCAGCCATGATAAGCACACGTAAGGAATGCAAGGAAAGCTCAATTTCGAAAAGGTGCAATCACAACAGAAGGCCAGCTTATTCGCCGCTCGACTCCCATGCGTGATGTCAACAAGCCGACATATGCGGTACCGCCGCTGAGTCTAAGAAAATGTCTTGAATCTGAGAGACCAACCCTTCATAGAAAACTAGACAAGTTAAATTCTTTACCTATAGAAGGACGGACAGGGATCCTTTCACCCATATTTTTAATAAAAGTTCATAATATTTAATTTAAAAGCAATCTTATCTTATTTTGTTGATTCTTTTCAAATTTAAATAAATACTGCAACTAGCTAAAAAGACGGTTAGGGGTCATTTGACTCTAATGGCAAACATTTATGTACAATGGCGGTCAAATATGGATGAATGGTGTTTCGTTTTTAATATTTACAATATTCATGCTTTAACAAAAACGATATAAATTACACTTTCAAACTTTATACAGAATTTAGAAAAATTCCACAAATTTTTATCTAAATTTCGAGCTTTTTAAATGGAATTTTTTTTTAGTTTTTTTCATATAAATAGCGAAATTTAGGAAAACTGACGTTGCCTTTTTAATTTGTATTTTTTTTTGCAAACGGTCTTGCGCATGTTCTTCCATAAGAAATTCCGATCTATATGGAAAAAAGTGCAAAACGCAGTCAACAAAAGAAAAGAAAAGTTATTAAAAACCAATGCGATTTTTTTAGCCGCTCAAAACTTGCACTTTTTTTACTACAATTTTATAAGCTTTTTAACTGCATACCCAAAAAATTTCTAAACATTCTGGTTAAAAAGCTCGAAATTTAGATAAAAATTTGTGGAATTTTTCTAAGTTCTGTATAAAGTTTGAAAGTGTGATTTATACAGTTTTTGTTAAAGCATGAACCATGTTTAAAAAAAAAAAAATAAAATAAAAATTTTGCTTGGAAAACATTGTAAATATTAAAAACGAAACACCATTCATCCATTTGTGACCGCCACTGTATACTAAGTTTTGTTTATTAATTAAATAAGAAAATAAAATTAAAATTTAAATTTTATGTTCTTTTTAGAAGTAATCAACATTTTTTAATTAAAAATTATAACTTCAAGGCAAGCCGATGATACAGGCTATCTAGTGTTAATGCGCAGATTTTAATAATCGAGCTTTTTTTTACTAAAAAAGTAATATAAAAATGAAAATACATTTGTTTAAATGAATGAACCCTTTTAGATTAAAATTATAAGTTTTTGTTTGTTTGTCAAATGACCCCTGTCCTCCTTTCAAGTTATGTAGATTTTTCAGTCTTCCTAGAGTTAAACTACATTACAAGTATCTTCCATGACCTCGTAGCAGCCAACCCCCCCCCCCCCCAAAAAAAAACAAAAACCACTTACCGTCACTTGATGTGGTGCCACCCTCGACCGTTTCCAGGTAATGCGCCTTACACAGCACCCGATCATCGATCAGAGCAAATTGTTCGCCGGTGGAGAGTTGTCGTCCGCATTGATCGCACGCGAAACACGCCAAATGGAAGACGAGATCGCGGGCGCGTCGTACCCAATCCGAGGCGGATATGCCACGACAGCATTTTGAACATTTCGCGCCGAAGTGTCTAAAGAGGAGGAAAAGAAATTAGATATAACATTTGTAAGAAGAGGTGGAAAAAATTTATGGTTAAGAAAAAAATATCAAAAAGATTAAGTGCAGCCTACACTAAGGCGCTATCATCAGGATTATCTGCAATGTACGCGCATAAGTGTGTTTGGTTAAGAATCATAAGCAGTTACACACTATATATGTATGTATGAATGTATATAATGCCTAAGTGGATATAGAAGACTATGTGCATGTGCGCCTGTGGGTATTTGCGTTTGTATGTTTTTGCATGTGTGATGGCGTGTTAGTGAATTTGAAAAAGCGTCAAATCATGTCACAGAATTCAAATCAGGGCGACGCGGCGCGGTGGACGTGCAAAGTGCGCGCGCACTTGTCGCCGGAAGTGGGTGAAGGAGCGGTGTTAGGTGTGCATAGATATGTATGTTTTCACTGTGGACTTTACACTCATAGCATAAAAATCCCCCTACGCTACATAGTACACATCTAACTACATACTTTATTGATTTCTGCCTTCAACAGTGTGTTTGTTTTTGGCCTTTGTACGCCTCGTCACACTTGACACTTTTCGAAATGAGTTTGCATTTTATAATGTGGCGATCTCAATCGATCGGATGGTATACTACGCCGGTAGATATATGTATGTACATACATATTTATACCTAAAGGTAAGCGGCGTAGTCATTCGCATTGGCGACATGTGCATCAACCAACGAATCTGATGTGTATCTTAGAGATATACATATGTACATAAAATGAAAACGTAAAACGAAAAATAACAATATTTATATCGCTGTGTTATTCTTAGAGTTGAACGCTTATTTAGTGTGGCTGGCACGTTTGTGTTTCCACAACAACGTAACATCGGCGGATATCAGCAGTAAGTCATTGCGACAACAACACAGCCAACTTAAAATTCTTAACTTGAAAAATAAATATTTTTACAACAGCATCAGTCATTTTCATAACTTCTCTTTCGGTGCTCGTAACAACAACAACAAGTATGTGAATGCTTTAAAAGTTGCTTTGGCCCTGTAGACATTTCTGCTGCTATCCATATGCATACGTACATACCTATGTATGTATGTATGTACACTTGTGGTCAGCTGATTAAGTCAAGTGACATTTTGTCTAGTTTTGGGTATTTCTATTTTGTTTATTTAATTTTTATTTTTTTTAACCGACTACACAGAAAGGAGAAAGGTTATCAATTCGTCGGAATAGTTTTTATTTTTTATGTATGTTACCGCATAACTTGACTTGACACGCGATAACCGATTTTCGAAAATTCTTTTTTTAAATGAAAGATGTTACCTCACAGGTGGTCCCATATTAATTTGGTAATTTTTTTTTTTTGTTTTTTTATAAAATTCTAGCACTTACCTAACCTGCCCCACATAAATCCACATTTCAAACTTCGTACAAAAATTATGAAAATTCAACAAATTTTAACATTTGCACCCGATTATTTTGGAATTTTTTATTTCGAGTTTTTAGAAAAATTTTGGGTATGCAGTTTTTAGCTCATTAAATTTTAGTAGGGTAAAGTGCAAATTTCAAGGCGCAAGAAAATCGCTTAAATTTTTAATAATTTTTTTCGCTGACGGTGTTATGCATTTTCTTCCATATAAATATATGCTCGACATTTTCGTTTGTATGGAAGAAAATGCCTAGTACAACCAGCAAAAAAAAAGTATTAAAAATCAACGCGATTTTCAAGTGCCTAGAAATTTGCACTTTAACGTGCTAAAATTTAATTAGCTACAAAACGGCATTCTAAAAATTCTAAATAAAAAGTTTAAAATTTTTTTTTTGGTGCAAATGTTAAAGTTTGTTGAATTTTCATAATTTTTGTACGAGGTTTGAAATGTGGGACAGGTTAGGTAAAGTGCTAAAACTTTTATAATATCTAATATATAAACACTAAATAAACAAAAGAAAAATAGCCAAAACTAGTCAACTAGGGCCACTTGACTTAATCAGCTGACCGCAAGTGTATGTACAAATTGTAACCAACTGGCCCATTGGGGACATTGCTGCTGTAAAGTCATCAACAGCGGAGACATCGGCAGCAGACTTTGGGGACACCTTACGCGCGACGCGATTGTACCAACTCATGCCACTCAATGGAATTGAAAATTCAAAGTGACAGTAGGATAGATAGTGTGTGAAAAAAACATGAAAAATAAAGTTAAGTAAACACGCTTAAATTACAAATAAGAGAATAAAATGCAGGCAAATCAAGTGAAGTGTTAAATCGAAGCGAAAATCTATTTTATACACATTTCTAACATTGTTTATATATTTCGTATTTTTTTTTTTTATTCGCACCCAATTATTTAAAAGTACACATAGATACCAAATTTTGCCCCATATTATGTTTTCTCTGCACTTTTTCATTATCTATTTTATGTCTTTCTTTGCGTTTTATTTATCTTTAAGCTTAAAGTGTTGAATCAAATGCTCCAAGCAGCTTTATATACAAGAAAAGCTTAGAAAACATTTTCATTTCGAATGTTTTGCTTCAATTTTACGCTAGGAAGTGTGGGAAAATATTTTTTCGACACCTGAGCATATTTATGTTTTGTGTTGTTTTTTGTTATTTTTTTCGGTGGCATAAATACAAATGCATACATACAATTTGGTGTAAGAGTGATCGTACGCGTAAATTTTTCAAGTCAGTTACGAAAATATGCTGGCCGTATTGAAAAACTAGGCAAATTATACATACATATTTATGTAACTAGTAGGTTGGTTGACGAAGTCACCGAGTTTTTTTTTAAATATCGGA